TTTTCAGCCACAATCAGCGTTGAGCTTTGTCCAAATTTTTTTGTTGCAATGTGATTGCATCATTTTGTCAATGATTGGACTTGTCAGCTCATATTTAAATATCAAGTGGCCAGCAGATGTTTAGCTGAAAGAATTAGTGGGGTGTAAAAAACTGAATTTTATTGTTCCTTATTAATTATACCTACCACAAATTCAATTGCAAACATTTTTTCATGAATCTATCTAAGACCTTCAAACCAGGTTCTGAAATCTTTCAGGCCCTGGTTTGAAGTATGATTAAAGTACCTGGCCCTACACTCCAATTCCAGATGTATGACAGTCATTCAAACATAATAATACATATTTATTTTTAGGTACTCAGTCAGTTCAAGGTGTTGAGATGTCATTAGGAAAGAACGCCTTGCACAACTTCCAACTGCTGAAGCATTGGCTCAATGTTAGTATGTTTTTTAGATAAATCATTCCAATTAAACTGCACCTTCTTTCATTCAATTTATAACTTTCTGAATCATTTTTTAACAGTTGGAAGAGCTGAGAGAGCTGCTAATTTCCCCAGCCCACCTACTGCACTTGCAAACATTAATTTTGATGTGATAGAGGATGACCTGAAAATAGAAAATGGTAATTCATTCCTTGTGGGAGATTCTGGCCCAGATGATGCAAGGCGCATTGTTGTCTTTGCTACAAGGGCTGGTTTACAGGCTTTGACAAAAAATACAAAAGTATTTGTGGATGGGACATTCTGGGCAGCACCAGCCCTTTTTCATCAACTTGTCAGTGTACATTGCATCATCATGGGGCAAGTGTTTCCAGTGGCCTTTGCTCTGTTCCCAGCAAAAGATGAGCAGACTTTTGACCAAAATTAGCCATGTTCAGGCTAATTTTGGCAGCAATGTTTGATCCCAGCAAGAGTGGTCTAGTGCTTCCTGCTGGTTATCTTTTCCAGCCAGAATTTTCATCTGATTTTGAGACTGGACTGTTGGCTTCCCTCTGCAACTATCTGTATCTCTCTGTGACCAGGGGTTGCTATTCTCACTATTCCCAGTGTATCTACTGTCATGTGAGGGATCTGGGTTTTGCAAAAATTTATAATGAAGATGAACAATTTTGTTTAAGAATCAGATGTCTCATTGCCTTGGGGTTTGTTCCAGCTCAATGGAAGTGTCATGTTTTATATGTAAGCTGCTGGTCATTTTTTGCAAGTGATCCTCTTGCATATAGGCTTTTGAGTGATTATTTCATACCTACTTGGATGAAAAGGATTTCTTTTTGCCTGTGGGACTTGCATGGAGTTTCTGTGTGCACAAATAACCATGTGGAAGCTTGGCACTCTACATTCAAAAATAAGTTTTGCCAGTCAAAACTCTCCATCTGGGAATTTTGTTTGATTTTGAAAGAAGAAGCTGTGAATGCTAGTACAGATATTGAAGATTGCTTTCTTGGTCAAAATTTTCCTTGTGCTGTTTATAGGGGCTTAAATCAGAGAATTTTGAATCTTTGTCAGGAATTTGATACTAGACCTAATCAGGAGTTCCTTGAAGCATTGGCACATTAGGTTCCAAGCCCTCCTAACTTGTTCCTTGCAAATTAATGGGCTGTTGCTATTTAAGATAATTATTATTTCTGTTTTATTTTTTATTGCACTTTGTATATTGGACTGTTATTGAACTTGGTACATTTGATATGTGAATTGGGAAAATATATTAATTTCTATATAAGAGGTTATTTGATGCATTTTTTTCAAAATTCATGAGACAACATGTAACATTGAGGGAACTTAATGGTTCTGAAATTGTAGAGACTTCTTTGTGAGTTTTTTCTTCAATATTGGACAAGAATTCTTAAATCTTTGGTCAACTTGGGAGAAGCCTTTGTAACAGAAAATTATAGTAGAGCAGTGAAAATTCAGGAAATAATTATGTTTCCATCTATAATGGTTGTAAAGCATTTTTATACACACTCACTTGAACCAAAAACAAACAATCTATTTGGATCACATATGATTTGCACTAACATAATATGCAATACACATCAATGGGCTGTCAATACACAGGGGAGTGAATATATTTTCTGAAATGCCACTATAAATGTATACTGGAACATTTTGAGTTGTTCTTCATCTGACACTGGGAGATAACTGAAATGTTCATTAGGAAGCATGCTTTATATATCTGAAATGTTTGAGCTTACCTCATGACTCTCACAAAGAGCAATGAGTTCAGTGAAGGACTGGGAATAATCAGGCTTCTTAGCAGATTATCCAAAGCATACAGGGCAGCAGGAGGTGAAAGGTTGATCCTTCATTCCATGGAAAGAAAAAGGTTTACCAAGAATTATTTTCACCAAAAATGTGAGAATTCCTCCATCCTCAGAAGTTTATTAAATACCTGCTCATGTATTTTATCATTTGTGAAGTATATTTTGAGAGGGACTTCAAAATTTTCAATGTGTCCATTTTTATGCATATATGCTGCTTTGTCCAGGACAGGAGCATGTTACTTCTTCCACAAGCATCAGGACAGAAGCGCCACATTAGAGGCGCCATGGCAATTCTGTTGTGACTCTTCTGTGGCACTTGTGAAGCTAGAAGCACAAGTGCCATGGTCAGACTGACTATACATGAAGGATTTAGGAAATCCTTCATGTTTAGTATCATTTTTTCGAGTTTTTTGCATGGAATTCATTAATTTCAAAATTATAAAATTTTAACAAGTTTTTAAAATGTTCTCTGTGTTTATATTCAACTTTGAATTCAAAGAAAGCGGTTTCCTTTGCACTGGCGCACAAAAGGGTGCCCCCTGACCCACAGAAAAAAAGTCAGGATGGGTGGGAAAGGGTAACCTGGGGAGGGACAATGAATTGAATAGGGGCAAGGGATTTGGTAGCCATATAGTGGAGGTAGGAATAGCCCCTATGCCTCATGGTTTGCATTTTTCTGCCACTGGCGTTTCTGAGCTCAGGGGAATTCATCTTGCATCCAGAATTTGCTTTGTTCCAAAATTTTCCACAGGAATATTGAATAACTCAAATAATTTTCTTCCTGCATTTCCTGTTTGCATTTATTCTTCAAAGGCCTGACTTGCAGATTTTTAGTGAAGTATATTACTGAAAATTTTTGGAGAAGAGACAATACCCATCCACAATGAGTAGCATTTCAGAAAGTAATTTTGGAGAAAGGAATCAGGAATTATCCTTTTTACAATCCAAGTAATCCTCCGTTTTTTTCTTTGTTCAGTGGAAGGTTGCACTTGTACCTTGGAGAGTGGAATTCATACAAAAGTGTGTTTGACAGAGTATGACACCTGCTTCCATCATGGAATGGTAGGAATGAATTGTAGAAATTTTTGTGCTCCTACTTCTTGTGGAAGTTAACATAGTACAGTATATGGTTTCTCTGTATTTGAATTATATATTGGTATTGGACAAGAATGATGCCTTTACTGTGGAATTCAGTGAATATTTGTGCTCCGTATTTCATGATGTGAAGTGAATGAATTGTACTGCATCTGTATATCTGTGCAGTGGAACATTTTTTTCATTCCTTTTTTGGGTGACATTACTTTTTCTTTATTGTTGATATACAGGAGAAACAGTTACAAATATTCTCATTAAGGTCCATTTTAACTGAGAAAATGTGGTCCAAAATTCTGGCATTCCCACATAGGGATAAGGCCTAGCACCAAGTACGTCCGCGTCTCCAGTGTTCAGTGTTGCCGAATTTGACAGCTTGAGCACGTGAGGAGGATTGAGATATGTCGCCTCTCCTAGTTGGATGTCTGGATCATGGCCGTCACTGACGAAAATCACTTTGGGTGAGTAAGACATGTTTTACTATTTTGAGCTGTGAAATTGGTTGTTGAGCTGTTCTCCATGACAGGATTTATGATTAAGAATAATCAGATGCATTGCTGACAACTGGATCTGTTTAGAACAAAGTCAGTGCAGTGGATCCCAGGTCAACAATTTGATTTGCTTGAATGGGATGGTTGGTACTACAACTGTTTGCCATAGTGTCAAAAATAGTTCTCAAAAACAGTGATGAATGTGAAGCAGATTGTGAATGTTACAACAAGGTAGTGCAGTACATCAATACTTAATCTTACAATTTTGATATTTATGTACAGGTTGTTTTGGGAATGATTTTTGTTTCAGCATATGAAGATTGAATGATTTGTAAATATTTGTACATTTCTGTGCAATGACTAACATAATCCAGTATTGATCATTCTTGTAAATTATTTTACCAACTCTTGGTGGTTTTGTTAGCTTAATAGTGAGTGCGGTGAACAAAATATATTTCGTTGATTCAAAGGTATTACAGCAGTTTTTTCAACAAAATGGTTAGTCATTGAATTTTTTTTCATTGGATTAAGACACAAATTTGAGCAAAGCACCAAAAAATTAGAAATACAGTATATAAAAAGCAATTGATGCAATTGGTTACAAAAATCCATAATCTCTGAAATGCATCTGTATTGTACAAATATTTTCCACCAGATTTCTTTTTCAGTATTATTAGTAATTCCTTGTACAGTGTTTACTTCTACCTTTTCCATATCCGAAGCAGGTAGAATCTTATTGTTAGGACCATTTACCATAATATACCTACAATGAGGATGAAACTGAAGAATATCTGTATGGGGTAATTCCTGAATGTTTTCATGATTCTAATTGTTAGTGGAACAAAATTGAGTGATTCTCCCAGGATTCGGATCCACAAATGCATATTCATCTTCATCTAGTTTTTCAAATTGTTCTTCAGGTTGGATAACTTTTTCAAAGGGACAATTTTTATGGATATCACTTTCATTTTTCTCCATTTAGAATTGACTTATTTTTGAAATACTGCAGTTTTCCAATCACTAAAAATAAGATGTGCATCTTCCTGGGGTATACGATTTCAGCAAAATTTTAGGGTGAAGAAGGATGGTGGGTGTTTTACTGGAGTGCACATGGTGTTCCAGTAAATATGGTTCCGTATGTTCGGGCGAAAAAGAAACCCCGGAGGCATTCAAATCTAAAAAAGAAAGATAACTAGGTTATCTGTGCATTGACACCACTCATTTTTCGGGACATAATCAACCGGAATTGGCGGGAACTGCCGCAGGTGCGTTTATATTTCATCCCCACTCGGCGCGACCCGCGCGGCAGAACCCTGAATTGCCTTGGATTCGTGAGCTGAGGTAACTCAGCAGATGACGTTGAACAAGTCAGCGTTGAAGTAGATGTGTTGCGTCGTGACCCCGATCGTGTCAACGAGACCCGGCAAACAGGTCGGGACGGGGTTCATGAAAAGCTGTGAACATCACCGAGAAAAAAAAAAGGAACTTGTTGAGAATACTGTAACTCGTCATATCCCATTCCTGAATCTGAATCGCGATGCTCACGTTGAGGACGAAAGAAGGCGGATATTCGACGTGGTCTGATTCGTAGATGCCTTGAACTGCCCAACCGAAACCGGTGAGCTCCCCTTGGTTGTACAGGAGGAAAGCTGGGAAGAATTCGTTGCAATCCAGGTCCGGGCTGACGCGGTACCAAAAGTGATCGCCTGCAATGATCATTCGACTATGTAGCTTCTAGAACTTTCTCATCGGCTCAGAATGCGTCATGACTGAAGGGAGGCTCGAAAAATTCGCCATCTCGTCTATAGGCTCTGAACCCGTGACGCATTTCATTCTCCCGTGTCACACCCGTTTAGAGGGGTTCGTCCTGATTGGAAATCTGTCCGGACAGCTGAGTGCGTACCAGCAGAACACCCCTTGTCCAAAGCAAGGTGAAATATTCTTACAACGAATAATCGATTACAACAACGTTATTTTTATTAGGTCCGTGCCCAATAGCCACTATGATGAATGATATACTTTGTTACAATTTTTTCTCTTACAACAAAGATATTTCATTCATAACAATGGCTTTATTGTAACTGGATTTTACTGTAAAGTATTCCAATTAGGACACGGGAATTGAAAAGTTTTGTATGCACAAAATGACTTCAACAATTTTAGAATAAGGTCTTTAATCATATGCTGATATGCACTTCAACTGTTGCCATTTTAATCGAGTGGGGTGTAGTCCTAAAGCCCCCCTTGGTGCAAAAATAGGGGATTACAGGTATTCTTATAACTCTTGATGGTAAGCTGCACCTTTCACTAGCAGGCCCAGCACAAGGCCAAGTACCACCATGTTTGTAAGTTGAGTATATAAAGGGATTCCTCACCTGCAGTGGTCATCAGTGATTCTGTGAATGTCAAAGTATCATTACTTGCTGACTTCTGCAAAATCTACTGTTCACCTTGTTGATCCAATGGCTGGTGAACTTCAGATCATGAAAAAATCAGAAGGGTGGTGAAAAGGCATACTACAATGGCTCATGGTGAAGAACACAAATGCCAGTACTAGGTGCTGGAAATTTGCTAATGAAGAAGGAGATAAGAGGGCCACATTGAAAAGAAAATGACATTGAGAGCATCAGTGACACTGAGGATGAGGCAGCAGAAGGCAATTTTGAAGATGATTATCAAACAGTCATTTTGAGGACTAATGAAACCAAGCGGCCCTTCTCAGGGCCACCAAACCCTGTCATGAAACTTGCATCCAACTAAAAAAAAGTGGGGGTGGGGCTTTTGACCTAGGGGGGCTTTTGGATGGGTACCAATCGAGTGTGACCCTCAAGCTCTCAACCAAATCAAAATGTTAGTCACTTACTTGCAAGGACATCAGTTTTATTCCAGCATAATCTTACATCAAATAGCCTATTAATGTGGGAAATTCAGGAAATTGAATCCATTTATTTGATGTGAACGAGGGTTTCTTCTAAAATCACAGGGGCACAGGTCATCAATGCTGGCTGAAAGCTTGAATACAGTATTTTTTGCTGACTGATTTTGCATGCTCATAAAACGCAATGAATCAGAAGCCCAGATATACAGTAGTTGAGGCTGGGCTGAATTCATTTGTAGGGCAGAAGCCCACAAAGAATGAATATTGAATCAATAAATAAATGAGAACAAACAATCCGCCCGGGAACAGGGCAGGGGATTCTCTGTAGAATCCCAAAAGACTAGAACAAAATGTATTTCACTTAAGTTGAGTATATAAAGGGATTCCTCACCTGCAGTGGTCATCAGTGATTCTGTGAATGTCAAAGTATCATTACTTGCTGACTTCTGCAAAATCTACTGTTCACCTTGTTGATCCAATGGCTGGTGATCTTCAGATCATAAAATCTGAATCATAAAAGGGGGGGCTTTTGGTTGGGTACCAATCAAGTGTGACCCTCAAGCTCTCAACCAAACCAAAATGTTGGTCACTTACTTGCTTCATCAGTTTTAAGACATCAGTTTTATTCCAGCATAATTTTACATCAAATAGCCTATTAATGTGGGAAATTCAGGTAATTGAATCCATTTATTTGATGTGAACGAGGGTTGCTTCTAAAATCACAGGGGAACAGGTCATCAATGCTGGCTGAAAGCTTGAATACAGTATTTTTTGCTGACTGATTTTGCATGTTCATAAAACGCAATGAATCAGAAGCCCAGATATACAGTAGTTGAGGCTGTGCTGAATTCATTGATGCAATACCCAATGCTATTTTTCAGAATATTTCCGAAGTAGGAAAATACAGTATCATTACAACAAAGCTGTAGGCACCCAGAAAAAAGCTTTGTTATAAAAATAAATTTTATGTGAGCGAAGGAATTTGAATGACAATCGGCCTATATTGGAGGAGGACCTGAGAAATTAATTTTTTAAGCAAGGATTTATTAAAAGTGGACTCTCTGAACAACAATCTTGTCAACTATGATTTTCTCCTAATAATTAATTTTTTTGGTCTCAGAATTGTTTTCCCATTAGTGATGGTCTGCAACAAAATTCTGTCTACAGTATTTTGTTCAGGTCAGTTGGATTTAGTCATCCAGAGGATCCACACATTTATAGTAATGAGATTAATTCTAGCAGACTGTACAATACTTTATTTACAGAAATACTCCACAGTCCTTTGTGAGATGTGCATCTGCATCCTTGACATTGAAATTCACGTGATGCAGCATCCCAGTTTTCAGTGGCCAAAATTCCAATACAGTGCTGTACTTTAATCGAAAAACTGTAAGAGTTGACTGTGTGACTTCAGAACCACGTCAACTTGGCTCCAAGGGACATTTTTTTCTGCTAGTCCTTTTTTTTACCATTGATTGGGGCGTCTGCGGTTTAAAAATAAATTAGCTCTGAGAAAGATGACATTGAGCACCAAAAAAATGTCGATCAAAACCTTTTACCGATGCATAATCTTGTTGAATTTTTTCTCAACGATTTTTGAGAAGGCGAAGGTGCGTGTTACTCAACTAAAAATTTTGCAGTATTCGTGTATCGCGGAATAAACCCTGAACAATCTCAACCAACAGCACCTTCTGTCTGAACTAATCCAGACCAGATGATGCTGGCGTTTTTGGCAGGCGCCGTTCCCGGGCGTACTTGAAAGTGTCTGGTGCGATGACAGCTTTGGGGCACCGTGGTGCCCCAAAGAGCCATTGCTGGGTGCCAACTATGGTCCACTCACCCATGGAGACGAAGCAACGTCCATAGACCCATTCCGAGAGCTCCGCATCTTCCTGCTTGGAGGGAATTGCGTCGTAATCCATGGCGCCGGGTCCGGTTACGATGAAGAGTCCGGTTCCTGTGCCGAATTCATCGAACTCTTCGGACGTTCTTCCGACGCAAACTTGAGCTGCAATAAGTCCCCATAAATCCAGTTACCATCTTTGAGTACATAATATGCAGGTCATTCGAACGATTGTCATGCGAATCGGGATCTTTCGATCATCGAGTGACAGCTAGTGATTTGATCTGGTACGACTTATCGCCGAAACGTGGAAATTATTTCCATCCTACCTCATCTTCTTTTCTAGACATGGTTGATTTGAAAAAGAAAAAATCCTTCACAAATCCATATTATCATCTTCCACAAATACAGTACTTCACTAGTTTCATCAACATGATCTCAGTTCATCTCGGGCATGTAGACTTGCAAATATTTTCCCGCCCCAATTTCTGAACTAGATATATGTTTCTACATTCTACAAGAAACAGTTACCATCTTTGAGTACATAATATGCAGGTCATTCAAACCATTGTCATGCGAATCGGGATCTTTCGATCATCGAGTGACATCTAGTGACTTGATGTGGTACGACTCATCGCAGAAACGCGGGGTTTATCGACGTATTGCGGTACTGTCGTATGATTGAGACTCTCGAAATGTTGTTCACAAAACTGCTAGCTGTTAGAAAGGTAACTCAGGACAACAGAGGGAAGAAAACAGCACGTATTGATGGAAAAGGAAATCTTAGTCCAACAGAAAGACTTTAACTAAGTTACAGAGGGAAGAAAACAGCAGGTATGGTTCAACCAAGACCTGTAGAACTCTTTCTAAAGCACGAATCGACGATCTCAAAGCACTAAACATGATAACTCAACTGTATTGAATAACTCAAACCTCCCTGATTTGGAAACCTCCTCATGTTGAATTTGTCACAGTCCCTGTCTGTATTTCCTTGGAAGCTGTGAATTAAAAACCTCCTTAACTTGAAGGCTTTTCCCCCTCAAACCATAGCCCCAATTTTTATAGACATGTTGGCTATTATTTTGTTTACATGGGAAACGGAAAGCAAGAAAAATGCAACTGGATAACTTTTAATGTGAAGTGAAAGACTAACTTGACAAATTCACCCTGGCCTTTGAGTTCAGCACCTGTCAGCTCATTCAGGAAGCAATTGAAGGCCCAGAATATCGCTGATTTCAGTTTCATGTAATTCTTTTTAATTTTTAAAATGTAGTTGGTTTTCAGTGAGGAAGGCTTTTATTGCTGAAGATTGAAGATTAAAGAGCACTTTCGAGTGATTAAAACCGTGCATCTTCAAAAATCTGACGTTCTGAAAGAAACACCCGAATTCCTCCGGCCTTTGATTTCAAGCCGAAATCGCCCCACGGAATTTTCTACTTCCCTGAACGAAATGATGAGAAAACAGGTGAGGAAGAGTCTTCATCATCCAAGTCTTCTTTTTTCTTTTCGCCTTGCGGCTGACGGCTTTCTGATCGGATCACGAGACCAGTTCCGGCACTCGTGAAAGAAATCAGGACTCACCGGGGTCGACGAAGTAGGCAGTTAGAACCCAGTAATCGACACCGTCGATGTTGTCGGGACGGAAAGCCGGCTGAGCCTCGAAGGGGAACCCTCCTGAGTTGGCCTCAGCATCCGCTTGACTTATCTGCAGGAAATACCCAAAACCTGAGCAATGCGGAATATTCGGTTCACGTACAGTCCTGTGGGACACCAGTAATTGGCAATTGGACCTTGTCCGTACATCAGATCACTTTTTCCCATATGCTGTACTTCAGTGTGGGAACGCATTGAATTGGTTCTAATGTTCATCGAAAATTGGAAATGAAGTCCAAAAAAGTGAATAATTTTTTTTTTCCTTCAACATGCTGAAAACAACGGTGCAGAAGAATCCAATCTTTTGCACCAGAAGGAGCTCAAGGAACAAGTCTGGTCATAATGTGCACACATGATGGTAAACACTGAAAAGTCAGCACAAAAGTTGTCTGTTTTTGGCCATGAATTCAAAGATATTTTAGGATGAAACTGAATTTTAAGTTTTGTAAATATAAATACAGTACTGTAGCTTAATATGTTCAAGAGCTATAAAAGTTTATGAAATAAAACGTTTTTATAAAATTTTGAAAAGTGTCCATATCTCAAGACAAAGTCAAGCTGCCCAGGCATAATCTTTGTTTTCTTTCAAGTGTCCCTAAGTTGAATTATCCCCATGTTGGGAACCCACTGAACTGTACAGTAATCAATTTATACATTTTGGATTGCATCGCATCACTTCGTTATTCCTAAAATCAACTCAACATTTTGAGCTGAAATTAACAACTTTTTTCATAAAATTTTTTTAGAGCCATTCTTTATGATCAAGTATGCAGAAATTCTTCAATGCAGAATTGTGTTAAAATCAGCAATGGATCCCTTGTCATTTAGTTTAGCAAAATGATTTTTCAAACGCATGCAGAATCTTGTCCTTGAAGTTATTTTGTGACTGCCAAGTAAACTGCACTTTAAAACCGCGATTTCTGAAAAAAACCCAATTGAAAAAGTGGAGAAAGTAGAGTACTGTACTGGTCAACGGGTTTCCACAAGATCCAAGTGCAAAACGGTTCCTTGGCCTCGGGAAATTATGCAGTTTGAAGAGCTAGTTTGAATTATTCCCATCCTACCTCATCTTCTTTTCTAGACATGGTTGATTTGAAAAAATCAAAAAATCCTTCACAAAATCCATATTATCATCTTCCACAAATACTTCACTAGTTTCATCAACATCTCATTTCAGCTCAAGTATGTAGGCTTCCAAATATTTCCCCACCCCGATTTCTGAACAAGATATCTGTTACCACATTCTTCAAGAAACAGCTTTTCCATATCAAAAACTCCACAAGTTCAATTTTGTTTGGGTACCTCTGGCTTGAAGGTAGGAAAGTTGAACTGAGCAAAAATTTCCGAAATGCCCAAACAGAGAAGGTTACGCTTTATAAAAATAAAAAAAACAAGTGGGGCTGCTCTGTACTGAACTTGGATTTTTTGAATTTCTCTGATTTTCTTCTTCAATTCGTTGGACAATTGCTATTCTTGCTCAGGGTGTCCTGACTCCTGAGACATGCTTGCCTTTTTTGGCATCAGAAATGACCACGTGTAACCGGAAATGATGCGATCGCGGGTTTTCCTGGGCCAACATGTGCTGCTTTGTGACCAGCTAGAAAGAATGCCAGCAACCCCGGAAATGGTTCCGAGAAACTTGTTGCGGAATTCGCGGAACGCAGTAATTCATGGCTTCATGAGCCTGAAACTGCGGAAGATCCGGACTCGGCGAGGTTTCCATCCGGTGATGGATCCACCCGCCGTTCGTCTTCGGATTCCGAAGATCATCGAATTATCCGTCATTTATGTTTGTGCAATATTTTCACTCAGTTCTCGACTCCTCGTGAATTTTCTGGACTGACTGCGATCCGCGATTTCGTTTCGAATCACGAATTTGCAGCGTTTCGGTCGGTGCTTCATCGTAGGAATGGAAGCTTGAAAGCCAACTGCAACATTCGCTTGGTTGATTTTCACGAGAAATTCAAACAAAGATTGCAGATTAATTTCTGACAGAAGAGCTAAAAAAAAAAAAGAACGCTGAGGGCATGTGTATTACATACTT